GGTCGGCTTTTGGAAATAGCCCACCGATGGATACTTACTTGCATATAACTCGGTTCAAAAAGTGGACTAGGGACATTTGAAGGGTGCTACGCCCTTTTAGTTATGCAATGTTGCTTTGTAAAAGCAGGCTCTCTATCGGTTCTGCTACTGGAATGACCTACACTACGCGCTAGATCGTCGCTATAGAAAAGTGGCTTATAGAATACAAGAAAACTCGATTCAAATAGAATGGTTGAAAAAATTCGATTATATTTTGTTAATAATTCCCAAACACCCGAACAATTATCGTAGGCATGTCTGGAAAACAACGAGCGTATACGAAATCCAGGTGCAGGTGTCTTTGGGGGCCACATTATCGTTGGCCAGCGACAGAAACGGAAGTGGCCCAAGTGGTGGGCGGCAAACAAAGCGACACCATTAAGCCTCTGGTTTGGTACCAATTCTTATTAAAATTAAATTATTTCGGTATAGTATATATATATATATACTAAGTCAATGGACCTTAGTAATAATTGCTCCGCTTGAAGTAGGAGGTGTTATTCAACGGTTGAACAAGCATTAGTTGTCAATACAGCCCGCATGACCTATGATCCAATTATTCCTTACCTTAAATTATAAATAAATCAATGTAGGTAATGATAAGAAATAGATAGTGTATACCTTTCATGCACTTAACGGTAATCAATAAAGTTATGATGTGTATTCTTTCAGAAAAGTATAACCCGACAACAATATGGCTCATTTAAACTAGAGAGTTGAACGATGAGGGGAAGTACACTCGACATGTATAGCTTAATGCTAGAAAGAGAAACGGAAGACGTTCTCGTTTCGTTTGGGCAACTCTGAAGAAGCTCTGTTTATCTTTAAACTCACTGGACCATTGTCTGCTTCCGGTTGCTGACTGACTCTGGGGTCTTAAAAAAAGGTAAAATTATTCTAATGCCCTTACGACAATGTTAGAAAGTTGACAAAGTAACGGTAGTATCTCATAACTGCAATATATAGCGTTTATGAACGACAGGCTATATGAAAAATTTCCTGAAACGTGTTACTGGAGCAAATGGTTATATTTATACTTAACCCTGACCTTTTCAAAGGACATAATCATAGAAATAACATTTACCGTTGGTTAAGCACGGTAGAACCAGCATCTATTCGAGCTACATCAATTTCACAATGCTCATACAACAAGTCACCGTTAGAGCATGGGTAACGATTCCTACTGCAACTTCCAGACATGCCCAAGTTGCCTAAGGAATTGGAACGGTTGGTATTGGATTTCATTACAACAAAAACAAACACATCCCGCCTAAGTGGATTATTGGGAGGAAAGGAACTGTAGCTTTCTAACGGACGCTTGCCTTCGTCTGTAAGCATCACCTTGTCTACAAGTTCTTATGAAAACTTAAACGACCCTAGTAACTCGTCCGGTCCAGTAAACGAGTAACCAGAGAAGATAGTTCCGTCCACTGAGCAGACGGACGCCTGCAATTTTAACTGACTTGATTCTTGTGGATTTATGTTATCTAGCGGCCCTGTTTTTTGTGCTCGTATTTTGCTTTTTGAACGTAGGCGCAATGCAACTTAAACCACCTTTATTGTTGATTCACGGTGTAAAGCGGTCTTTACTTCTTTTTTAGGATAGTGGTAAACTAGTTTTTAAATTAGGCAAGCGGCGTATGATTGCAAAATAGCTGCAATTCTCTGGGTTCTCAACTGTCTGTGCAGCCACCAAGGTATTCCTGCAACGCTTTCAGTCAAGAGGAAAATGAAGCATTCATTGAATGAGAATAAAAGGTGAACCTATTGACATAGGCCAAAGGCCCGCCGGTTAGGTATAAAGCATCTCTAGCTGCGATTCCACCTGGTGTCCGCAATTTCGTTGCACCTATCTTTGCTAGATTCGTAATTAGCCCCATCCTTACGATTGCTATGTGGACCCGGTCAATGTAGTTCCTGTCCAATGAGGTAAGTTTCTTAGCAGGTCTGAAAACATGAAAAGGTTAAAGTCGTCTCCTCATTGTTTCGACACAGGAAAGATAAGTCTACTTCAACATCTACTGCTGTTCCATTAGCGTGCAGATTTGTTGCCAGAAGATTGACTACGGTGCTAGGGACATCTGGTTCGATTAAGATATCTGACACTTGATCTACAAGGACTGAGTTCAATACTGTCTTGAAATTCGTAGGAAAGATAAGATTTGCTTCGCCTTTTCGGGTCACAAGGGAAACAGGCCCCCTTCGTTGATACGGCATCTGCCCAGTACATAAGTACCAATAAGGCCATCTAGTGCGGAAATAGTACAATGGCAATTTTAGGGTACTCAAATTGAATCTGGTCTGTTCTCAAGGACCTATCGTTCCGTTCGACCCGGCCTACTCTGTCAGAATCGCCTAGGCATCCCAATAATATAATTGATCAAAATTGAGCTGATTGGATAAACTGTTGAGCTGTTCCTTCTCAAGCTTCATACGTGTCTAATATCTCAGTATATTTCAGTTCTAGTTAACACAATCTTAGGTGTTGAACAAAAAAATCGCAGGTGTTCTCTTGCACAGAAAGGTTTGCGGCACCCTGCCGAGAAGTTCGGCGATGCTATCATTTACCACCAGGTCCGTTTTTTGCCGGAGCGGAAGATCGGAAAGTTTATTATTGGAGATATCGACTAGCTCACTGTATCAGGTCACAGCCCTGAGTTACTTCTGTTTAACTTCAGGCTGGCCACTTGCTTTTCAAGCAGCAGTGTACGATGTGAGAGGGGCATCGCGCAGTCCACTGTTTGGGTTTCTAGGGCTTAACTATCCCCACACGTCACACTGTGTGTGGCAAAAGCTCTACGCACCCGATCTAGCTACCTCGTTACCCCGTTGGTCGTCGAACCCACTTCGTGGTTCGTATTGCAGAATATATGGAACACTCCATTAATAGTACTCGTCCAACCTCATTTCACAGCCTTTATAAACAAGCTCGCACAAGCCTGACTTGTTTCTTTGCGACTGCATGGGAGAAGTAGACGCGCGGGTGGAAACTTACGAGACGTTATTATGTTCGGGTAGAGGAACATCTGGTGTTATTTGTTGATACACAGCTTCTATTTGTGTTGCCCATTGTAGCGCAAAGTACATATTGTGGTCTGGGCTGCAATAAATATAACTCGTATATGGTTCGAAGGAATAATCTAATTCTATCAGCTTCAAACTACTCCAAAGTTCTTCAACGGAATTCTGTCCGTTTATGACAAATCTGTCTAAGGACTTCATACAAGGTCGGATCATGCTTTCATTGATAACATGCTCATAAGACTAGCACGCTGAAGGACTCGGATAAAGGCAACAAGTCCTGTTCACTCAACTGAGGATTTATAGTCGCTTAGAATTGCTTCCCTCACTTCGTTGCTCAACTCATTCGACTCGTGCTAATCACCGGCAGTAGATATTATAGAGTATTTGGCTGACTAGACCAAATCAATGTGTTGTCTACATTGAATACTCAAATCCGCTGTGACAGACCGCCAATCCTATTGTCGTTCTACGGTAAATATCGCTTCTGCATTCACAAAGGCAGCGATGTAAATAGTCATAGCAAGCTTCCTACATAGGTTGGTTATAGATAAAATTTCGACTGTGCATTGCGTGAAGCATAAGGTAGACCTACAGCGGTTAGGGCTTCTAAGATCTGCTTAATTCCTAAATTAATTCGAACCAAACGAAGAGAAATAAACTAGACTTCGTTCGATATGTCCTATAAAATTTCCTTAAATTACTAGAACTATTTAAGGCAAAAAAATGCTTACTTTAATCAAATGGTTAAACGACTGTTTAAATGTATAAAGTTAGCCGTACTAAGGTATGGCTATCGCGTATTTGATTTTTCTGTCGTATTCTATTGCGCCATACAGATTGCTATATATATATTTATTATATTTGTTCGTCACAATTGTGTAGAGGCACCCAATTTACTAGCTCAACAGGTAGCCCTGCAATAAATAATTACTGATTGGGTGATTACGTTTTTCCATTAAACTAATTTGTCGTGGAATTCGACAGATAGTGATACTTACCACATGGTAAATTTACATTTTCACAAAATGACAGTGAGCTTAGTGCGCTACTCCTTGTCATAATGAGATTTACTTAAAAAAAATAGCAGTAGTAGTTAGTTTTCTAGGTAGACTGTACATGGTTGCGTTCAGACTCTAACCAGACTGTCAACTACGTAACACGATGCATCTTTGCAGATAACAGTAGTATTAATACTCCGCACTGGAGGATATGCTTTAAATTGATCTCATAATGTTTAAAACATATGTTCTATGCATAGGGTAATAGATCCATATAGTATTCGTAAACGCAAAATCCATCCCGCTGCACACGTCATCAGTGGCGCTCGCGAATAGATCTTATGCTGACACACGTCTCACATATGAGAACTATATCAAACCGATGCGATATGAAGAAACGCTTTTTATATTTTTGAAGATTTTTGAATAAACTCTTATGGTACATCGTCTCAAATAGGAAGACCACCAAGAAGTTCTCTTTCAGAGTGCCCTGATCGCGTAACATTTGTAATCGATAGAAACCTGAAATTCGGTGATTTCTTTCTCTTCGAACCCTTATACGCCTGACAGCTTGTTATCCGCCTTCGCCGGTTGATTTTGACTTTCTAGTTTAATGCCATATGGCACTTGAAACCGTGTGTCTTACCGGCCGTCGTTCCTAAAAGTCAACTATGTCCCGGTTGTAAGCGGCGCTCGTCGCTACGGGGTTTACGATCAGTCGTTCGATCTGCATCTGCACGCCTATACCACACCCCACCTTCGAAATATCTGTTACTAATATTATATTACGTTATTAGTGTTCAGTCTGTGGAGGCAGGTGTACCTAGTCTATGTTTGATATGACTTAATGTATACATGCTGGGCAGTATTTACTTTTAGATTTTTCTGGTGATCGACCACCTTCTAAGCAATTAATTAGCTCGTATGACCTCTACTCACATTGCGCACAATAGACCGTAGACTCAGAGTTCGGGGCAACTGTCCTAGATCCTCATCATAATAGTACGCTGTTGTCAGGCCGGCCAGTAACGCGATGGCTATTGGCCAGAATTGGAATACCGCTGTTTCACCCCACATCACCGGCCGAATTTACTATACACTGGGAGTCGTATGTCACTATTGAACAGAACAGCTCGATAAAATGACGACACCGACGAGGATTATCAAGTATTACTTAGTTGCTGATCTAACTGGCACTAAGTTCAGCACGTGCGTGTTGGCCTGCAATACGTGACGAAGCGGCTGTGCTATTAACTCGCTTTTTATTTTTGCCGCTAACCTGATTCAATGTGCCGTTTTGCTGGCAAAACTGCCGACCTGTCATCTAATAATAACTGGTATGCTTTTGATGACGTTAGACCGCTTCTAGTCGACGACCGTTAACCTATCGTGATTTGTTCTCTGTTTTCTCGCACCTGCAACAATGGGAAAAATACTGTTCGTAGGGCACTTGATGCACAACACACAAAATAAAGCACGCGTTATTTAGTCCATGAACGGTTATTTTATAGTTTTAGTTGGTTCGTACACGTTTGTTTACCGGTCGTTTTCGAGCTTGTTGTAGATATTTTAACGGACGTCACAGCGGTCCGTTCAATGATATCATTTCTTTGCCCGGCAACTTGATTTCTACAGCATAACCTCTTGTCTGTTTTTAATCCCCGGCGTTAGTCGCTGTACTGGAGAAATTTCCAGTTGTGTATGGCCCGACAGTACGATTTTCACAAGGAAACGATGGAAAAAACAGCAAAAAACTCGTCACACTCAGACTTGTGCAGTTGTACAAGGGTTGCTGCTGCTGCTGCTGCCGCCGCGGCTGCCGCCGCTGATTCCCGTTTGGTCGAGAGTTGACCTGTTCCTACTCACCCTTGCCGCGTACACGCACGCATTCACAGAGCGCAGAGAAAAAGCTGTTGCAGCGATAGATATATGGCTGTGATATTACCGATAGTCAATTGCTGACCGACAACAGCCGCTATCGTAGCCGTTGTTTCGGGCTAGTGAGGTTTGCACCTAGAGCCGGGCTAAAGGAACAACCTCGACTGGCGTCTGACGCATCACGACCGACCAGTGAGTCGGCCACTCACTTGTGGCAACGTCAGTGCAAGGCTAAAAAGCAACCGCTACTCGGTTCACTTTGCCTTCGTTGTCCTGCAAAGGGTTTCTCTTTCCGTTGCTTCCGCCAGCTAAATTACCAGACTAGGCTGGACTAGTTTTGTTCGTGGCGTTTTCGTATCGGTTGTTCGGCGCAGTCCGGTTTGATGTGGGATACGACATCCGCAGGTTCTCGCTATGGGCAATAGCAACGGTCAAAGAGCTGGCCGACTGGTCTTTTCTTGTGTCTCTCAGATACAGGCAACAGCCAGAGTTTAACACAACGGCGAGTGATCGGCCATCTGTTGGAGCGCTTGACGTCACCGGACACCGATGTCAGGGAAGGGTGAGGGTGCTGCCGCCGTGCGACACCGTAGAGAAACACCCTACGGAGGAGTGCTCTAGGATCGTATAATGCTGTGAGATCTTCCGATGCTACAGCTGTGTTGACCTGTTGGGGAGGCTCATACTAATGTATGTTGCTAGCAGCAGCCGAAGTGTGGTAACCCACAGCGTAGGATTAAACAGCAACTGTAGCATCACTATACACAGCTGTGGCTGGCGACGTCGTCGCGTAGCTGCTGGCGCCACCAACAACCAACGATACCCTCGCCCAAAGTTGCGCGCGCACACTCGATGATACGCAATACATCAGCACCACATATCCGTGGATTTGCTTGGCGGCAAGAAGCTATTGGTTGGAGGGACGAAAAGATGGCGCTTATAACGAACTAATCGACGTTTCTCATTAGAAGCTCGTTAAGTACTGCCGCGGTAATCATAACACTGAATAAATATATTATAAAACGTATTCAGTCGATGAAGCATGCTTCATAATGCCATACCTCTAGATGAAGGATAAACGCTTGTTAACCATATACAATTGCTGAGAATATACATTGAAAAGTTGAACGAAAGTAACGTAAAAAAAAAAGCGTCTCGACGATCACGATGAGATGGTAATGCGCACTATAGCGTCCCTTTAGAGCGATGAAAAATGAGCGTGGCATACATGGCGTGCTTAAATCGACGAGACAGATCCTCCCGCAACTACTGATCCTCAACAAGCTGGATCAGTCATTGTAATATCGAAGGTTGCTCAACGTACAGGTATGCGAAAGAGTTGTCGTTTATCAGAAAATATAGTCGAGCATTATTGAGTGGTAGATTTGTTGTAGTGTTATCCAAGAACGAGCGAGTAGATTCGTCGGGAACCGTTTGCTTCGCTGCTTCCAACAGTGGTCGTTGCATGTATTAGAGGCTAGCAACCCTAGAAAGCAGCGCATGGATCTGCACCGCCGTACAAACATTTAAGGGACCTAGAAATACAACAAAGTTAAAGGGGAAGGGGACTGAAAAGATTAGGGAAGCAGAAATAAACGCAGGTCTGTTCCCTGCTTATATCATACAATCAAGTGCACTGCAGTCCTGTACTGCTGTCAGGATATGTTTGAAGATTGTCGCGCTCTGATGCCTGAAAAATGATAGTCTTGTGCTGCATAAATAGAAAGATCATGCTGACAGTAGCGTGATGTGACGATAATAGTAATGAAATGTATTTAGGGAAGCATGGGGAAATGTATTTCACGTTCATCATTGATTACGGCTGGTGATGGCCGAAGCGGCGATAGCGCGCGGTATAAAATCTCGTAGATAAAAAATTGATGTGAAGCAGGGGCTTCTGAAGCGAACGAAAATCTAGTACAAGGCAGGGAAGGTTCGTTAAGTGCGTTGTGGCCGAATGCGGAAAACGTGGAAAAATCGACCCGCTAGTTAATGTAGAATAATGATGAATTGGAGACATATAATACTGATGAGATCTATATTTACACTCTGAGATCCTTCGCGGTGGACGTCTGTCGGATTTTATTGGTTGGAAAAGGGATCTAACTGGTACGCAAGTGAATAGTTTAAGTCCGATAATATTCGTAATATACTGTATACTGTTGCATCCTATTGTTCTATTGAACCTCTTCAATGATCCCTGTTAACAACAAATCGATCCTACGAAAGCATCGTGGGATGTTTCATTGTCGATTTTGGCGAAAGAATCCGTTTCTTTCTTAATTTCAAGGAAGCCATGTTATCTTGGCGTGCTACCGACCCCAGTACGAGGTTTGCATGCCAATGTTTTCTATATCATCTATGCAGCAAATAAATACAAACAAAATAATCTCGTTATATGATCTTTTAACAAGAAGAGCGTATACCTTAAAACGGTGTGCTTGTGATCCGTGAGGTCGGCATTGGTGTGAATTAAAATTTCTTATGTATTGATATATCGTTTTAGCGGTACTGAACCTTTATTTTGAACAGTGTCCTGGAATAAATTAGAAATGCTAAATAAATTAAGGAAGCTCACTGATGGAAATAAGGAATACAGGAATAATCTATCTCGGATAATAGAACTTCCGAAAAAATTGAATAGGTATAAAACATATTTGATGAAGTAGAATCATCTATTTGTAAATAAGAGTTTAACAGGTACACGAAATAAATCGCAACACAGTGTTACTGTTCTTTCGACTTATCATGATGGGAAACGGGTAATTGATTCTTTCCTACTGAGCTGCCTAAGTCCTAGGTTATACTAGCCAACACTTAACTTAGGTGGCTGTAGCCTTAGCGGTTTTGTTTTCTTGGGTGCGAGGCTCTACACGTTGGCTATTGGCATCAAAGAAAAATCGTATGATCTTAGATATGCGCTTGGAGATCGTAAACGAAAGATCTCTAAGATCGCACAGTCATTTACAGCAAATAGGATTAATTTTGAAACGATAAAGAAGTATCCTTTTAATCTTCGCAACGCTGAACTTCACATTTTGCGCATCCTCTAACGTACGGAAATACTAACGGTTCTTCAGTCATAAACTGACAAAGCTGCATTTGTTTGCCGATCCTGTACGTCACGACGAATGCACAGAAATGATCTAGGATCCTTTATAGCTTAAATTGGCTATGTTATTTACAGCATTTGCTTTATAGCAGCTTAACATATATATATATATATATATATAATTCTGATATCATTTTCAGGGGGTAGATTTTAGCTGATTGATATATACCCTGGAGAGCAGTAGCGTTCTATATTCTGCTAGCGCTGATAGCAGCTTTTGCTGACTCAGGGGAAAGTCATATTTAGCTTTACGTGAGATCCCTATCCGCAGATAGCCGTCCAACAAGACTCAACAGATCCCGGCATAATTCTGGTTCTGTATCTTCCACTCAAATTTGCATGATCTTGAAAATGCTTTAAATAGGTAGCTAAACAACCCTTCATGGAATGTATAGTACAGGAATACTTAGTTATTCTTTCTTTACCTCAGCGCTCATAGGACCATTCAGTTGAGACTTCATATAAGTGCGTATTAAAAAACCATTTATTGACTTCTATGAATAATATGCTAATACACCCCATTGATTTATTTGTTTTCTCTACATATCGATATATTTCTGCACGTCCCGTCTTTTGCAGTATAAATACAGTATCATGTCACCTGCTTTATCCTTTAAAGAACTGGTTTCCTATCCAAAAATAAAAATTCGCAATTCTTTGCGAAGTTAACCAAGCACGCTTTGAAGGCTTTAATGAATTGTCTAAACTCGATTTTATCCATGAATTACAGATATGAGGCTGCAACGCTGATTAAAATATAACAGGCACTCTAGCAATGACTGATTACTCTTGCGCTTTTCAATATCTCGATTTATTGTCATATTTGAAATACTACCTATGGCGTTTGGCCGACTCATAGCGTGTACTTTAGCTAGTCCACTCTATCACCAGCAAATATCTTAGCGTACCCATTATCCGTTATGTCCGTGTCATTATCATGAAGGAGTTTATTATTTACCGTAGAAACTAAAATTCGAAATTTCCCGACGTGGTTTAATGAAGAAGAAGAAATGAATGAAAAGTTTCTCTTTTGTACTCAATAGAAAATTGTTGCTATAATATACTGTTGTAGCCGTTCGAACAATCAGAACAACGTCGAAACAACATGTAATCCTCTCAAGTTAAGATAAACCCAACATCATCATGGAACCGCCTACCTTACAAATAGCTTCTCGCCTGCTGCGTGTGCCGAAGTGTTCTGAGTGTGGCCTGATCTGAGTATACCTCTATGCAAGGGGAAAAATTAAAATGACAGAAAGAGAGATTACCACATCACATAACCAGGTAATTATTTACAAATGATTTATTCATTCAGAGCTTGTGCCTAAAAGGACTTGCTGCTGGAGTACCGGGCATTCACAAATAATAACACCTATCTCCATCGCTGTCCTTCTTATCTCTTGCCTTACGCAGACGCTCGTGCGGTGACCACGCTCTGGGGCAAACATCCAGCGTGCAGGTAGCCCAGTATGCCATTATCTGTATACCTTGCGAATATGCTCTAAGTACCTTATCCGTTTGCGAGATGTACCTTAGCTTCCGGTAGCACTTCCGCTTGCTCTGACTTGCGCTTATCTATTTCTCTCTTGACATTGCTGACGATGTAACGAGACGCAACCGCTTGCTGAAAAAACATAACATTGCATTTGAAAAGAAGGTGTACCATAATGTGCTCGTCAGAACAGGCGGTTTTCCGTAAGACCTTTTCCTGTTATTACACCAGTCACCATACAGTAAGTTCTTGACCAGAGTGTGGCTCAGATAAAAACGCCTTTGAGGCATGTAGACCAATCTAGTGCATTTGCATCAAAGCTAGTAACGTATCTGCACGATACAGCATTCTTTGCACGAATTAAGTAATTAGCCTGCATTGAATTGTCAGCCCACAAATGTTTTGGACGATGACGTCTTGTTCTCATTCAAGAGTTACTTTAAACTTTACTTAAAGAGCATCTTCTCGCTATCCAATTGCCGCTGATTTTTTTAATGACAGGATTTGTAGAGGATTTCCAGCCAAGGATCGGTCATTAAAGAGAAAACGATTTGTTGTGACGCTAATACTTAGGCTAATACTTAAGAGCCACAGATTTCGGGGTAGCTGGATTTAACTCGGAAGTCTCAACAGGTTTGAAGATTTTTGCACAGTAGACGCTTTCAAAAAAATATAGGGCGTTTTTTTTTATCGGCATTGTAAGAGTAGTGCATCGTGAATAGGTCATACTTCTGACAGTACCTGAAGCCTTAAATGACGTCTCAGTCAGAGTAGCGTTACATTTCAAGGTGCTCGTCTTAATGCACTTTTTTAAATAAAACATATTGTAGGGCGTTGTCAAGTATATAAGATTGCGTTCATACGAATGTACAAAGACAGCCATTTAATCGAAAGCAATTTTCGAATGACACCAAGAAAAAAACAGCTGAGTTTGTTTATGTATATTTTTCTTTATCACAAACTTGGTATGATTTTATTTAAATATAATATCAATAAAGTAGCTTCTGTAGGCTTTCCTCATTGTTGTTTTTGCCTCATTCAATTTTTGGCCAATTTTTCAAGCACATCTAACTTTATCTCTTAAGTGACAGCGCAAATATTTTCCTAAAGTTTGTCTACCGTCCGTGAGTTGTAGTGGACCGAGAATTCTTGGGGATATCTACAAAAAGGAGTTACAGCCTAGAAAACACTATCCGGTGCGGCATGGAGACTGGGGATATCATTGGCCATTTTTTTGACAAAACCTTTAGCCTGTAACTCTGTTCACTTGTAGGAAACAATCCCAGACTCTTTCGCAAGCCAAATTGTTGAAAGTTATAACTTGTTTTCAAAACATGAACTTTTAGCAGCATGATTTGCCTCATGTTGTAACAGATAGCATAATTGCGTCATTAATGAATGGCTTCGGTGAGCGACTGATCTCTAAACGGGGTAACGTGGAACGGTTCCCTAAATTCTGTGACATAACTCCCGCCATTGTATTTTATGGTAGCACCTAAAAAGCGAGGTGCACTACAATCTATGGACCGTGGATAAACTTATGTATATACGCATTTCCATTTTAGACATCAGGCTAGGTATATGTCAAAAAGAGGCCAAACTTTGAGTGAAGCCAATAACAGCTATAAAGAAAGGCAAGGAATCCCACCTTAGTATTTTCTAAACAATTTTACATTTAATTAACATTTTGAACGTACAAAGTTTTCAATAAAAACAAAAACATGTATTTTTTGCACGCATCATTTTGAAACAATTCCCGACTAGGCGCCTGCTCCTGCGTTTGTGTCACTGTCAAGTCAAGAAGCACAAGTTCTTTTTCCTATTGGTCAACAGAGATCAATGAAGAACCGATTTTTCAGCCTGGTTGCTCTTGTATTACGCGAAAATTATTTTTTAATTTGAATTTAACATCTCTTGACTCTTGAACGATTTCAACGACTCAGAACACTTGAGGATCTGAAACGAAGGATGTTCCTCGAAGGAAGCAAGGTGATTTTACACGAGAATTATGCCTAAGCCTCTACATTTCCCGCACGAAGCTTTCCGAACCAAACTTACATAGTGCGAACTGACACTCGTTAAAAGCTTGCTTAGTATTATCTTTAAAAGTACGTGAACATCTAAGTACATATTGGGGGCGATGTCTGTGAGTTGCATGAATCCGTTTGGTTTGACCTCTGTGCAACGAAAAAAGATCGAAGCCGTAGAAATATGTGAATTACCTTGAAGCACATACATGTAATATCGTACACAATAATTGCTTACCAGTTGACCTTAATTTATATAGCGTAATCGCCCAGATAAAACTGGCCTTTTTCTCGGAGGATATTCCTTATGGCTAATATTACGCTCCTTGAACTTCGTTTGTCCCCGAAGTATTTCTGATGAATCGTTTTCCTCCTGCGTATAGAAGCCAATATTTATGACAGAAAGGCCAGATTATTTATTTATTATCCTTTCATTTGTAAGAGTCCAGTTATTATAAAGGAAGAGGCACGTTATATTTGAAATCAGGAACAATACTGCTGATAGTTGTATCTCAAAAGAAACGTCGCCACGTAAGCTTGCATGATACAACCAAATTAGATCAGGCTAGCGCATAACAAAATGGGACGATTATCCTTTTACCCACTATGGTTAAAACATTTAGTTTTATATAGATTTATTATACAGAGTTTAGGCGAATAAAAGATACAAATAGAAAAATGTCTGTTAGACAGCAAAGTGGAGTTTGTCCTTACAATATACATCTTTATGATCGTTTTCTGCGCAACTGTACTGCTGGTTTGTGTGAAAACGTAATTAATTCTAATCTACAGAGTTTTCATGATACCAATAAACAAAGCTCTGGACAAAGAACTTTTCGCAACTGGACAAAGAACAAAGGACGTTACTTTGGATTTCAGTAAACATTTTGTGCTGTCTTGTTTTTCCATATCCACTTGCCTTGTTCACTGTTGAGTTCTGTGTCCTGTGGTTTTATATGTGGTTCTTAACGATCGATCTGTAGGCCAGAAAAAGGCCGACGATGTTCAGACAACGTTCCTCTTATTTCCCGCTGGCCTGTGGCCACCTTTCAGATGTTACTCCATTTCATCATTCACACGTCGTTGCCTATACCTCTACCTTTTGGAACTTATGATTGCACACAATAGCTAATGTGGGCACACGAACAAGCGAAGCACTTAGAAATGACTCGTTTTTTTAAAGTGCTTTTTGGAGGCGCTTTATCTTAGGTGAAAGGCAACCAGACGCCGGTCCTGAACTCTGAAGTCCAAGTAGCTGGCTAAATAGGCAGCAGGAGCAGCAGCAGCAGCAACTCCACTCAAAAGCACCTAGCAACGATCAGCAGTTCGGGCTGAGAAAATTCGCCCCATCAGCTGTTGCAACCAGCCAGTTGGTAACTATGGCAATAAATAGTACTAATACTTGTCGTGGCAGCAGCAAAAAGAATGTATCTTGGTAAATGTACCTGCTCTTTACTGCCGTTGCCGCTGTCGATGCCCCCTTTAGGGACGTTGCTACTGAAGTTTCTTAGGTGTACATCCTTTCGTAGGCAACGTACCGACGGCGTATTCACTCGAATGACGTCCAGTGAGTATTTGCTAAGTTCATATTAACCGATAGATGACAGCTGCATTTCTATATAGATCGAAATATCTCACTGTTTCGTTTCAAAGAAAATATTAACATGCGTGCAGTGCGAGTTTGCCAGAAAACGTTTAGCCTTGGCTAAAATCACGCCCACATTATAGCCGTTACATCTAAATTCCAAAAGAAAAGGTTTTTCCTTATAAATGAGAGGATTTTACCAGATCGTATGATAATGCTTGAAGTTTCTATAGTTTAAATTCTATTTAGATGCCGCTGAAGCCATATTTAATTTAGGAAAAGCGAAGTGATGTCTTCTAAAGCAGAATTATATGCTCATCGTGAGCGACAATGTGATACGGAATAATTTCTAAAATTAGATTGAGTTTACGACGCGACGATCCGTAGAGTTCTAAGTATATTTTCTAGGCTTTATTTTCAAGTTGCTGACTATCCTCTATTATAAACCTTCTTAACTAATTACTCAAGTATTCTTTGACAGTTCGGCCGCGGCGGTTCCAAGTTGATTCGAACAAAAGTGCAAATTATAATTAGATTGGGCAATATGGCGCACACGTTGGATTTCCTTAAGGATAAGTGAACGAAAGCTGTACAGAGGTATACTGTGAGTCGCAAAATCGTCGAGTTAATATTCAAGTGTATCTATTTACAGTCGGTTGCAAAAAGAGCAAATTATTAATTGGAGCAAAAGTTTTCTTTATACGTAGACCACGAGCGCATCGCTGCGAGTAGCGACTGGGAGACTCCTTGTCTGTTAAAACAACAAATTCGTATCCTGTTTACCTCTCTTCCATTTTCCTTTCTCATCAAACCAATGAAGCTGTCCCGGCCCAGGTATGCTACTTTTGATAAGCTGCGGCAATTAAATACCTTTATAGGCTAGGTGTATGACCCTACTAAACTGTCATACATTAATGACCTTCTCTTTAAACGACGATCGTTTAAGCTCTTCCTCTATCCATCTCTTTTTCGACATTTTGGCAGCAAACTCTTGTGAACCCCAACTAAGCTACCCGTCGCATCTTTTGTCCTTCTTCGAGCGAAACAAAATGTACCGCTGTCGCATCGAAATATGGTTAAATCCTTACCAAACATTTAGCCTCGCTGTTGATATATCCTAAATTTGCCGTCCTGATACGAGTCGCACACGAGTAAAACGCAGCGAGAAGCAACAGTTCGTTGGGGAGTAGAATGACGACTCACGTTGCGAGCGACTGATGTTGGCAACGATATCAAGGTTGATTAGAATATGGACAAGAATAGCAACGATAATAGCAACCACACTATAGTGCCGGCTACAAAAATACCAACACCAGGCCACACAACGGTAGCTTGCGTTAGCAACAAGTAAACAAGGTACGGAGATGGTAAGTGCATAAGTTGAACGACCACACCTATAAATTTGAATTGATTTCAGCTAATAATACCGTTAGTTTAGTAGAAGTTTTCGTGCATAAAACACGACGAAATACCAAAGAATAGCAGACGAAGTGAGCCAACACCGAAGGCCCATTGGAACCGACGCCGCCTGCCTTCAGAGCAGAGAGGATGGTTTATGCGACGCAGCTATAAAGGGCCGCGGACAACGTCCTGCGTGTTGCATAAAAGGCAGCTTGAAGGCTCGAGAGTAGCGAGCATGTTTGTTGCACCGTTTAGATTAGCGTAATCTGCGCCATAGCTAAATTTAATGGCGTAGTAGAGGGGCGCGGATATTGCGGATTAGACGATGCGATTGGACACTGTAAAGGGTTAGGCGACCGGACGACGGATGTGTTCTATACGGGATAGGGCAAAAGTAAACTTAGGATGGAAAAATACGTAAATTGTAGAGGAAAAAAGGTAATCTCTTAGTTCGAAAAAAAAAACGCTATGTTATTACTTGAATCTGATGCTGCTTCGACGCTAAACCCGTTCTGTTTTTAATGTAAGGCAATTATTTCTTTAGCTAGGTCTTTCCCTAGTGCAAGCTCGCTGTTGTTCGGCCTCGTATACATCCTGACACAACGGAGATTATTTCAACAGACCCAGAATTAGGTGCGCGCTAATGAGGAATACATAGAACTATATATCTATAATAATGTTGACAGGCGGGCATAGTAACTTAGTGATTTCCTGCCATGACTCATCAGCGCATTGCTGAGTTCCTTTACTTTATCTAGCTTGTGAAAAATTTAAGTGCCACCACGCAGACACCATGTCTCCGGCATTATTACAGACAAAATCGTTAGTTCGTTATATGCCAAGAATATAACTAAAAAAGCAAGCTAATTTGCGTTTATGAGGCTAACATCTTTCTTTTATCGTTCATTTGTTTTTATTATACTAGTTGTTATAAAACTTGGTCCTGTGATAAAACGCGAACACGTTTTGACGTTATATAGAAACAAATCGAGGCAAAATTAGTGTTACACTAACGACAAATCATTATGATCAAATCAAGGTAAGTCAATCTGTAAGGTACAGCTAATAGTTGATTGTTCCTCTAACCATTTAGAGTTTTGCGTAAATCATCCGTTAAAAGACTAATGTCAGTTTTTGAAAGTTTAATATAGTGGATTCTTCAAAACATTCATTGATACCGTTAATGGAAGACCTTCGTATTAGATGGATAGCAGCAGTGCGTTATGGCCAGTCAGGCAATGACGGCACACCTCAGCCATCAGTGTTTCTATTATTATGTGCGGATCTGTTCTCTGGGAACTCTACGGATCGGAATCATGAAATGTGCAAATCATTTGGGTCATGCAAAGCTATTGTTATTAGCTTATACAGTTATATTATGACAATCACGATTAACGAATATAAAAACATACAAGCATACTAACACATGCTAAAAACACAGCTGGAAAAGGTAGGTTAAAGCACACATATTCTAGGTACAAGTCGTTTTTTCAATATGGCTAAACATCCTTCCGAAAAATTAGCCTTCGGAGCCCAACTAATACGCCCTCGAAAAGTGCCAGTATGAAGTGTCTCTATATGTGTACCTGCAAAAATTGATTTTTAATACCAGCAGCATTTTTTCGGGGGTGTCCAAACACAACCTTGTCGAGCATGTCTCAGTTCTTGTAGTTTCCATTCACAGTACGTTTCCCTGAGTAATTCAGTCAAACATTTTGCGTGCTTAAATTATTATGAACTACAGGTCAAAGTAACGGGACACTTCCATTGCAGTTGTTAGTTGCATCGTTGCGTATGGCTTCGCTGACGGGACGCGGTTACTGATAAACCAAAATGGCTCTCTTGCGAACTCTACACAGACTGCACACACCTAACGAGCTGTGTTATGTGCTGCGACAAAAAGCTTTTTTCAGCTCCGGGTTGCGTAAACTGAAGATTAAACGGATGCAGTCAAAGATTATAACCAAATATAGTTTCATGCACTCTCGCAAGTGGCTCCATGCTAGCTGACGTTTTACGGGCAGAAAAGATAGAATGCCAGTACTACACGCTACACATGTTAGTGGCACACAATGATATACATAACTTTTCACGTGATCATCATGTGACGTGCTAGCTGAGGGTATCTGGACCTCTACAATGGCAATAAAAGAAACGAATCTGATTCGTTTTTTCGAGATAAAGACTCGTTAAAGGTTTCGGCCGATACGTAGTGAAGTGTCTTCCTAACTCTTTTACCCTGTCCTTATCGGTTTTCATTAGCTGCGAACAAGTTGCCTGTATCAATTACCTGCATCTGCAAATTGATTTTGATTCATCAAAGTTCTGCCCTTAATGCCATTCCTTCATTCCTAAAAGTTGACCTCATATATAAGGACCACCAGATAAAAACGCTCGTATAACTTGGATACACTTTCCTTTTACATTTTATTCCTGGTCATAATAAAAAAAAAAAAAAAAAACTAACTTGTGTAAGCAAAGTTGCACGTGATGGCAATGTTTTAGAAAGAGCCGCTTTAGACCTGAAAATGACTACTTATCCTTGTGGTCCTCAGTTTGTTTTAGTGTTTACCTATTTATTTAACATATGTATCAATATAAAGTATAAAATTGATATATCGATATGAAAATTACTTTAAAAAGATACTTTACTTTAAAAAAAAGTATCTCCCTTGCTTTGTCATAAGTGTTGCGCCAAAAACCGATTCGCTTTAGTATTGTGGACTGGAAATCCATATTATAAATTTGTTACCGTCTGGAGATTTCAGCCGCTGTGAAGATATACGACCTCGAACTAAATGTCTACAATATAGCATTACTGAGGACACCGAATGATTCACTGCAAAAGGCTTATAATCATTCAACTATGAACGACTATAAAGTCAAAAGGGAGCATGTTCGTGCACGTCCATACCGCTATTTGATTAGCACGATCAGGTTATATTTTTAGTGCGTTTTATCTCCAACGGTCAATAAGGCTTCGCACTGTGTATGTTTGCCTGCAGCTAACGAGGTGCTTCTTGTGAACAGCTTTATAAAATCGAGTTGATAGGCTCAATCGACCAACATTTTTGCGTTATAAAAAAGCATACTTGCGATACGGTTTACATTGAATCGCCTAATGGTTAGACCCGGCAAATAACTATAACGATGCATAAACTGTCACAGATAACAGCTATCCACAATTTGAACAAATCTTAAAATTGCATGACTAAAATCACCGATCGAAAATCAAGTCAGTCACTGTTTAAGTCGTACAAATGTGAGTTCAGACTACGAGAGAAAAAAAAAAATAAATTGTAGCACGTACCGCACGATCAGGTGCAAAATTAGATACGAGGAGCTTGTCATGGCCAACGAAACCAAAATTCTAGCCTAAACACTCACTCCGCACTCAGCCATTTTTGCTGTCGCCGTGTGAGGGATGCAATTGCGACCCAGCTAAACACAAGCAACAATAATGATTTTGACTATAAGAAGTGTTAAAGCGAGGATACGGATCATAGAACAGTGCAGCTAAAGTGAAAAAAGCATTTATGCAGACAAAATTAGCACAAAGCTCTATGATTTATTTTAATAGTTATTAAAAACGTGAACAAATTGTTGAATAAACGTTGTTAAAATTAGCGTTCATTCCAACCTCATCATATAAACTTTTACGAAAAGAGCGTACCGCAACTGTAGTTCATGATCCACTAACTCGGACAACGAAACTGATTAGGTAAGGTAGGATCTGCACTGAACGAATTGGCCCCAGGACTTCGCTTGCTAGCTACAGCAGATAAACAAATCTATGAGACATCTATACTTTGTTAAATGCCGAAGGTATCATACAAGTATGTCAAAACTATAGCTGGACTACTTGCATCTACCATTATTTATCAAGCCTTCCGCTAACAATGACTCTAACAGCCTAAAACGCATGCGGTATCGGACGTTTGCGCATCGGAAAAACAGCGCAAAACGAAGGGTCAGTCGGCCACGGCTTTTTGGTAGCGACCTGGATGTACACAATTAAAAAAAGTGGCCGCTCGTTGGTAAATCTTTCGGACACTTACGATCTGAAACTGTAACGGGGCCTTAGATACGTTCTACACCACGCACCATGAGACTGCGTCAAGAAGAAACGACTACAGAGTATGTCCTTAAACAAGCCACCGTTCACCATCTTAGGAAAAAAGACACATCGTCCATTTTTCAGAACCTTCATATATCGACACGACATATCCTAAATGCAGAAATACGCGATTTGTTCTCGCCCTTTCCGCGCTATCATTATCGCTCATATATCTAGAGAGCGGAGTAAAAACTCTGATAGTTTATTTATCGTCACGCAACGCAGAACTGGCTCAAAGGTAAATGTTAGACTTTGATGATTAGGCATGAGCTCAGAAGACGATCTGTCCCTTTGAAAAACAGCATGCGTGCTTTAATTATCTTTATTTTGAGAGCTTTTATAGTGCTTTTTTTTCGCACATTAGGTTTGTTGAGCGTGCAATTTCGATTAGTGCCGACAAATCTTTGAGGCTTATGGCCCTAATTTTCAGGGGCTCAGTCTATATTTCTACTGCGCCTGACTATCAACATTTTGCTAGATATTGGTAAAAACATTCAATATGCAGAGGTTTTTATATATTCATAAATCTGCATCCTGAGATTGTACAGTCATTGCTCTAGATTAGTCACGAATAGCTTAAACTGCTTGGCTTCCATCTGCTCGAGTGCTACAGGACGGAGCTGTGTGCAATTCCCGTCGATGAGGAAAAAAGAGTGACGATACGTTATCACGAAAATATATATGAAGCCACTATTTATTTTGACTTTCGTTCCAGCTCCGCTTCGTATGCGCTAGGAGAATCAACACAGGTTGGCCGTACCTCTTGAGCAATATAATTTTCACTCCTAATCCAATTAGGACACCTCACTTGCTCAAGCATTTCACGCATAGATGCAACGTCTATTGTACAACGAACGATGATGCTTGATGTAACTTATCACATACATCAAACTTAAATAGGTAACAAATTCGAGACAAATCGCATATTTATTATGTTTACTTTTCCCTAGACAGAATGACGGACAGGTATAAATTTTAACATTCGTTCACTTCACTGTAGTACACATGATAACGCCAACCAACTAACCGGACAACACCAACAAGGTCTAGACATTTGCGTTATGACGGCGTTACAATAGGAGAAACTTGTGACGAAATGATGGTCTGGCAGGAGTTAGAATTGCGAAACAAATATATTGAAACTAATCTGCTGATAGGGAGATTCATGACAGCCTAATATACTATTTATATTGTTTACGGCTGTTTTGTCTTCGAGCTGCTGTTATTATTATTGACTAATAATAATTAACAATAGAGGTAAGTAGGCCGATGTCACTTCTCTCCGACTAGGAAAAGTAACATATTTTGGCCCTAGAGATGTATTTTTATAATATTTTATCATATACAGTCACATCAAGTATCTGGTATCGTTCTGCGCATAGATCTTTTTCAACAAAGCATTATATTAAGCAGAGTTCTAAATGGAATTGAAATGCGTATGATACGGAATTAGAGCTAGACACGAAAATCGATTTTGGTACTATGACTGTCTGTCATCTGAACTCTGTTTATTGGATTGCTCTCAAGGTACATAACTAGAGATTTTTCTATACTGCTGAAAATGCAGTATGGTCAGAGGGACGAGCTTAACGCTAGACTGCCACTTTAAATCATGTAGCGGTCGTATCTGCAGTATTCGATGACTCCGATGGCACAAAAGTGTGCTGTTTCAAAGATTCATTCGGATAAAACAACATTCGAGCAGAAGACAGATAGATATTGATAGAGTAAATGTAATATAAGTTGTAAGTTTTAAAAATAGAACCGTCGATAATTTGAGGAACAAAAGAGGATTCGCTTAAAAAAGTTTATTGCTTCCATGGGGTTTGTCGTCAACAATAACTTCATCAAATGTATTGTCATTAATAAGAATCAAGTGCTGAATTACTGCATTTTAATACTACATTCTTCATGTATATGCATATTAATATATTAGTATGCATGTTACATACCTTTTTGATTTTTCAACCTATACATTGAAGTAATTGCTTGGTATTTGTTTTAGGGCACGCCAATAAAGAAGAGCAGATGCTTCGTTACGTTGCATTCGAGCGAAAGGGACGTACTAAAAGTAGATTTTGACCTATGATAATCCGTAAATTGATCTATATGATAATCAGTCTCTATCCGTTTCTAAGGACTCTCAAATAGTCTGTTCCAAAGAGAAACGATACCGTTACCTCACCGATGAAGAATTCAATCGATTGCCCAAACATGGAGAAATCTTTCAAACAGAACACTCACTGACAGGTTAATACAGGAAGTCTCTGAGCACGTAGAGGCAGGTTGGACTTGTTCGATATTCGGCCTGGGGGTGTACAAGTGAACATCGCGAGCACATCAACTTGTGTACAACTACTGTGTCAAGCAAATTAGATTGTGGACTATATGGCGAGTCACACGTACACAATGCTGGTTATCATCCTTGGCGTTTGTAGTTATGCGTTAATTCCGTAGTCGTTATAGCTGAAACGCAGGCGGTGCTCCTACTTTGTCATAGCCTGATTCTGCTTTTACGATGGGGTTTATGGCAAAATTACCAATGCAGAAGCTACGAATAACTCATTCGAACTTCTTTAGAGAAAAAAAAAAAAGTGCAACTTTATACGCATCGCAGTAACAGATAAAAGTGTTGCGGTACATATCTATCACTTGTGGTATGCTTTTGTACTTCAGGAAATAATGCAAACAGACCGAGCGAGGATTTTGTGTTGTTTTATAGAGCGACAGAAGCAGTTCACTATGTTCAAATATCGCTTTTTTCTATTGATCTTCCAACTGGTTTCAAACCAATTGGCACTGGTCACTGAAAATTTTTGATTACGTTTGTATAAATTAGGCAACTAATACAATTGAAATTGTTATTTTTTGTCTTTATACTATTACCACCATTATCATGCTTATCTGTTTGCCATGTAAAAATGGAAGTAAACTTAGTTTACGCTGGAGCCAGAAGTTCCAACAAGTTGTACAAGTCTTTACACCTTGATTTTGATTCTCCTATTTTTGATTGAACGTTGCTGAGAAATCGAAAGCAAACGCCCTTCTAGAGCGAGAAGGGCCATTGCATAACGATAAATTGACCTCCAAATACTTTTTCAGCCTCACTCGTTTACAGTCGATGGATTTTAGATGTCTGCTTATTAGCACGTCCGTAGGGTTTTTATGCCTCCAACAAAGCTCCATACGATCTCTCACATTCAATTTCGATATCATCTCATTGTGAAGCTAACTTCGAAAACGGTACGCTCATCTCGTGCAAACAAACGCCATTATATTGGCGGGCCGTTTTGAAAAAAGCTGATACTTTTAAAAAGGATTTTTTTTTTATTTCTGCTAGCCTGGCGGGGGTTACGCTAATAAGTCGGTCTGTATAGGGTAACTCCGCATTTCGGCGGCCGCCAACACTATCTTCTATTTGATTTTCTACATTTAGTGAAATATTGCCAAATCTACCTGGCTGTGTAAGCACCTTTCTATGTGCCTATAAGGAAACTTTTATCACTATCAAATGTACAGATGTACAGACATACACGTCTTGTCGCAAGGAACTACCATTGATACGTCGACGCTTCATATCCAAGAACAATGCGTGAAATCACGGAGTATTTATCATTACGGCGCAAGGTAAACGGACGTTTACTTTAACTGTCGCAGTAATACAATACGCATTCACATGATAGCTATGTGATTCTTTCCTCGCTTTATGGAAAATTTTATAAGCACTGATTTTGCAGAAAAAGCATATACTTATTATATTGGGATATACCTAAACAAAAGCCATTTATCTATACTGAATAAATGTGCTAACATGTCCTCTATTACCTACAATAACTCATTTTGTATAGGTAGAAATGCTATGTAATATTCCAAGGGTTTGTCTTGCTGCTTCGAAAACGAGTGATCATGCTCTGCTTTTACTACTTGGGAGGGGTGGACTTTGCATTTTACCTAGATAATTACGTATATTGCATAAAACCAAGTTTGCATTGACTTACTGGCCAGTAGATCGTTAATAGTCGCCGGGATGTTATTGCCGTAACATAGTTCTGCTTGCCGAGACTAACCAAATGATTTGCCACTCGGCCACTGTCGTCGTTCGTAATGACGTCTTCTAACTAGAGTTTTACTGCGGGATATCGTTCCATCTTGGAGCGGGACACCGGTAAAAGTTTGTCCTGTCGCGGGTGGCCTCGCGGCATCATCAACTGCTGACCGTGTTCGGTCAAATCAAACTACCAATGTTTCAGCTGGCTAAAGCAATTTCATTTTTAGAAAGGTCCGACTAATACACGGACCCACATATACATTTACTGACATGGTAAGTTGCCGGTATGTACAGAGGCAAAGGAATGGACAAGACGATAACGGTTTCCTGTTCCGGCAACAGTTTTTCTTCTTATAGCAGGATGATATGTAAATAAACTGACATTTTTTTCTTTTATTTGACTGAACTTATTATTAATGACTGTTTTTTCTTTTAATGTTGAGTTACGCTCTATCGTATACGTCAGGCTCATTATTGGCCTTATAGTCTTACGGGTTATTACCTCGAACCAGCTGATGTAGATGAATCTGGCCTAGAAACCTGAAATCTGGCTCTATATAACAGCAATCATAATAATATTAGTATTTCTGCTTGGTATAAACGACATTTATTAAACTTTTGAGTAATACATTTTACTTTTATTATTTGGCGTCAAACACAAACGTTTCCGAACTCAAATGATATGGATGCGAACTAGGACTATCGATGTAAGTTAGTCTTTTGCAAATTCAATAAAACTAGGAGAACCAAATTTGAGCCTATCTTGGGGGCTAATACATGCTGTCAATTTTATTCATTGATGACTGCCGCTGCTGCCGCCGCTTGAAACCTTACTTCTTTTCGCCTTAGGCTCTAGTAAGTCACAACGGACAACGCACCGCCCGGAGACAGTAGTTTTCATACTTTAGCGACCAGAATGTGCAGAGGTTGTTAAAACCCACATTTTCTTACTAACGTTGACACCGCAGGAAAGGGGCGGTCACTGGGGGTGCTCTGTTCTGGAGACACCCCTAGTTGTCCCCTTTCTGTTTTTTCTCCTACTGCGCCACTGACGGTGTAACCGCTTGCACCAGGAGCATCTTTTAGCCAAGCGAATGGACGCCTAACCGTCTTACTCCTCAGTTCTTTTTCTCTCTCTCAATTCCCGTTTGGAGCGACGAGCAGTTCTCCTTTGCTTGGCAGCAGTTTGTCCTTCATTGACAAAATGGTAGGCAGCGACGGGCGAGTGCTAGTGACGTCCCATTTCTCTGGAATACCAGCAGCAGGCGCACCACTAGCATTGTGGTCCTATGTGTGCGTGTGGCATGCTTGCTCTGGTTCTATCCTACTGGCCTGCATCGTGTATAAGAGTGACTCTGTACGCATTTTAGTTTGTGTGTGTTTGTTCATGTGGGCGTCTGAGTATCTAAGTCGACTGGGAGCGGTGGTGCGATGGTAGAAAACACGCTTGGTCCTCGGCGCCGCCGCTTTCTGCCGCTGCCTGACGTGTGCTCGGTCCTAGAGGCCACCAAAACAGCAGCAGCAGCGTGGAAAAGTCGGTCAGGAATGGAGAAACTGGAAATAGCTGAGACCTGAACGAAAACGACAGGCAGCTTGGGTTGCTGAATGGGAAAGAGGAGAGCACGCAAGTGGTCTCGAACGACAGTCGAATCTACCGTCCCGCTGAGATCCTTTCCTGTAGCAGCCCAATAAGTGTGCCTGGTGGCCGATAGTGGCTACCCGGACGCTGGTTGGCGCTCGATTGCCTCTTTCTCGAAAAAGAAGCTAGTACAGACTAAGCAATCGAAGAGAAAAAGGGAGTAGGGGCGTTCAAGGACTCAATGAACGAAAGAATCCTCTGAGCAGTAATGGGACGTTAGCAAGCCACGAAGGGGCAGAAGTAAACAGGGAGGACTGCACTCCTGCAGTAGTAACGGGCATCAGTTGCCTTTAGTTTAGTGGTTAATGTATGGGGCACTCTGGGCTTCTGACCAGTATTGTGCTATAAACTACTTACGCGATGTCTACTAGTGGTCAGAGGCTCCGCCGAAATTATTTCATTAGCCGTTATATCTACCGTAAATCTATCTTCAGACGAGGTCACCGTTCAGCGCTACCATAACGACTACAAGATTCACAGCCTTCGGTAATCGAATAAGAATACGTTCTTTTCTTTTAGTAAGTCTTCCTGAAGAAGCGGCGTCTTCTTCATCACAGCCTATAATACACTCATAGTTATAGGTAGGTTGACGAAAGATCCATACGAGCAGATGCGAACTGTCGCTCACAACAAAGTTTTTACAAAGTCGTTACAATATGAGTGAGATCGATGTAGCCGGGAAATTTATGGAGTGCCCTCGTTTGCGTGTATTTTCGGCCCTGTCACACAAGCGTTTTGTGCAAATAAAATGCAAAGCAAGAAGGTTGTATTACGCGACGTTATTGCATTGTGCGTGTCGCATTGAGCTGATTTCTATAAATCAAATTTTAAGTAAGGAATTACAAGCAAGGTCACAACAGTAACGCATTTTTTTTGATAACCAAAACGCCCGCAGCGTGCGACTTACTGTTTCCGCAGCTGGAGGAAAAGCTTGACCATACAACCGCCAGAAGGTTGCGTCAACTAGAACTATATGAGTCTATACTTGCTTAAATATGTAACAGATGCCTCAAGCGTTAATAGTTTTAGCGCGCATTGACCTTCGCACGTTGAACGCGGGTGGCTTCCGAACGAACCGTAACACAAAAAGGTACTAGACATAGAAACTCTGCATAACTTTACTAATTACTACTTCGAATAGAATTAGCATCTATTTTTTGCTATGTTAGCAAAATCAATGCAGGGAAGGCAAATCCGTTCTGTTGAACTACTACAATGGCTATATTTGTACATTGGTTCATCATTCGTAGCGATAAAGGTTTACTGTTAAAAGAAGAAACGTTTGTAATTTGATGTAGTAGGTCCAAAGCACAACTGGGGTTTAAACAGTTTTGACTACGTTCGTTGAAATGGTGGAAAAGGCGGAGTTGATTTTTCGAAACAAATTTCTAAGACGGAGAATTTTTAACGGAAGTGTCGACGGTTAGACGAATGAGACAGCAATGTTTCAGAGGTTTATATGAGATTTTGGCTGGAAGAACTTCTTCCTCGTCTTGCGAATTTTTTTTCTTTTTCTTTCTTTTTTTTTCACAGATCCCAGAAGAGTTGTCAACAAAATGAAATGCGGGAGTAGAAGTGGCTCTAGCGGTAATGAGCATTGTAAGGGTGAGTGGATCCCAAGGGGTTGGTGCCGTTAATCGATTTCGTTTCAATAGTTCGGTCTAATCCACCGTCAATATCTCTGCTCACTAACTGTCGTATAAATGCAATACTCTATTATTTGAAAAATCAGATGTAAATCAGCCAGAAGCACATGTAGATACTAAAGAACCCAAGTTTAAACATTACGAGTACATCCAACTTTTTATGGCGAATTTTTTTGGAGTTTTCAAAACCGATATTATCTATAGCGCAAGCAGATGTGCAATTATATGCCTTTCATTATTATTCTGTTAGTGTTACCTCCTAGTAAATAACATCGTAAATATTTAATCAACTATATTCTCAAATCGAGATATCTTACATTCCCAATGTTTTTTTACATTTACGGACATGGCCCGCTAAATTAAATTAAAACAGAGGAACAAAGCAGGTTAGTGTAAGATAATCATGTTCGTTCAGCCCCAGTAGAAATACTTCTGCGACCGACCACGGCTATAAAGAAACCCATACGTCATCTAAAGATGTCTGTAGGGTCATTCAATAGAAATTAGACTGGTATTATATTAGTACATATTACTTATGCAGAACATCGCTGTACGACAGGATTACGATAACTGGTAGGTAGTCTCGAGTCCTCGGCACAACATACACGTGTGGAATAATATATATATATATAAAAACCAGACGGGTAGCCCTATGCTTGGACATATGTCGAAATTGGGTCCACTAGTAACTAGTGGACCTAGTTTCGCTAAATAAAGATAAAGAACGCTAAAGTCGTACTTTAAAGTACAAGAAAATATTTCGTACTTCGTATAAGAAGTATTTTCTAGATATTCCGAAAGTAAGATTTTGGGAAATTTCCTCCATTTTCCTTCTGAAGGACTTTCAGTATCCCCACAAATTAAAAAAATTAATTGCATCCGGCTCATTCTCGAACATACTTATCGCTGAAGTGAACTTCCACTGCCCTAAAAAATATTTATCCTTACAATAGCGCGGTAACGCCGAAAAATTCGTAAGAGCCACCAGCAGTGGGGGTAGTGGTGGTCGGTCATCTGAGATTATGCCGTATTGACCATACATAACAGATCTGAAATTAAGCAAATCAAAACGTTTATCTAGCGATTAGTCAAATCCTATACTTGCGGAGGGTGAGCTTGTTAGTGAACGGAATTGCGTATTTTACGGAAATTAATATGCTTAGAGATAGGGTTGTAATACGTATATGAATAATTCCGTGTTAACGAAATCGGAAGCTCTTCGTTTAACACAGAAGAGAAGTATGGCTTTGGGGATCTTCCGTACGAAAACTGATTTAAATAGAGTTGGAGTTCATAGATTACCACACCTGGCCATTTCTCCAAATGTCTTCTTATAACTCTTTATATTCTCCTCATTAAACGATATAGGTCTGCCGTCGCCGGGTTTCACGCCATCAAGACGATGCCTGGATAGAAGGTGGATTGCGCGGAAATCACGCCAGCGTGGGGAACATGCATTGTAAAGTACCGCTCGTAAATCATGAACGCCAAAATCCCACGGAACCCTGAAGCACAAAACGTGGAAGACCCATATGATAAGCATTATAGTGTTCACTGGAGCGACTTAGTATCCTCCTGAGCATTTGAAAACAGTTGAAACATTTTTTTCTTTTCATTTACTATAAATCGGAAACCATCTGCAATGGTAAAAAAAGTCTGGAGATTTTCACTGGAAATTATTAATATTTTTTACGAGAAACGCGGATATTATGGGACACGATATTATTCGGGTGATTGCAGATGCATAGTAATTACCGAGAGAAGCGCCAATCTAGCACTAAATGAAGGCACTCACGCGTGAACAATTGTTGGTTTTTTAAAAAGAATAGATGTCGTGGGAAGTTCTCCAGCATTGTAGTACCATCGGTCAGGCTTGTAATATCGATACGATTCAAGCCATAGGCGCAGAAAACGTGATGAACGATGTCCTACGATAACCTGAGTACCAAGATACTGTTTTGGTGGTACACCTGTCAAAATATAACCCATCCTTGATATGTTTTCAGACTGGTTCTTGAACTTAAAAGTATGCTATTCTAACTCGTGGACGTACTTTAGTAAACATCCTGGCTGGCAGTAACAATCAAGAAATTACAACAAGATAAGAACAATCAAAACATATACAACGCGAAAGTAAGTAAATGTTTTAATCTGTTACGCACTACGGTGTCCAAGGACAGTATGGCATGAAGTATGCTATGCCCGACTTTGGAAAGGAAGAACAGAATAAGGCAAAATAGCGGTATAATAAGTATTTTAAAAAACCAACCGATGGCGAGTTCAAATCGTCTGTAGAAGTCCAAGTGTTTAATTAGAAACACATCGGTATCGAGGTAGATGCCACCGTAGCGTTGCAAAATCCGTATGCGAAGTACATCAGACGCGTGATGCAACGAGCTCAATTTTCGACCCCACACATGCGTTGGGACACTTACCGGAACGAGGTTAAGGTTTGGAATTCGGGTTACTTGAGACCAATACTTCCCGCTCTGGAAACGGTAATTAAAGATATGAATAGCTCAAATGGCGAGATCGTGTAGTACTTTCGTTGACTATAATTGCACTGGCTGCGAATTGAATATAGTCGTGGTTACTCCATTGAAAAAAAGAAAGACTAATCTTGCCTTTAAGTAATCGCAGTAATCACAGTGTATGAGAATCCGCTCTGGTTTTTGAGCCAACCAGGCCGCTTTGATGCAGACAAGTTCTTCGAAGGTCAAGTCGCTTTTGTTACCGATCTTGATGAAGTGAATGATGTTTGGCACTATAGGGAAGGCAGCACCCAATACATTATCGAAATTATCAAAATCTATGCCGAAGTCACCGTTCAACAGTAAGTAATTTAACCAGGAGTTCTGAAATGTAATTATCAAACATAATGACAATGATACTGTCATCTCACACTTTGAACTAGTCTGTTATAAGCATATCACTGATCTTAATGATGCTAAGTAGTCCGCTTGCAGTTATTGGCGTATGATCGGAAATAAATTTATCTACACGCACTACTTTTTACTTCTAAGCTTCCGAGGTATATATATTAGCTGCTGCTTCTCCTAATTCAAGACTCCTAATTTTAAGTTGTAAAGGGATAGACCCAATACGCTTAGCTTAGGTAAAAAGAATCAACAAAATGCACCCGAAAACTAAAATTACCTGGTTATCCCATTGACGTAACACGACGTAAACAGTGGCAATCAGCGTAAGAGCTATAAGGTACCTTTTCCAGGGTTTAGCATGAACTACTCTCAATAAACAACAAATAATCCTGTTTTGGAATTTACAAAATATTCGAGAGCTCATCGCTTGTGACATAACGTAATACCGCGAAAACAGACCGTTGTTTATGCATAGTCTAATCAAAACAGAAATTGCGATAACAAAGCGTTATTCAAAAACTTCAGTCAATACTAGGCATATAGCCATTGTGCAACACTGCTACTGGGCCTTGGAGGTGTTTCATCGTAACAAAACATTGGCTCAATGAACACAACTTATTCACATCATTTTTGTTAAAGTATAGTTACTTCCCTGCTAAATACATTTGTTTTTTGCTGTTCGTTCATACAATTTACCAATAACTAAAGCAATGAGACAAGGTAACGTATTGTTCTTGTTACTCGTAGTAAACAGACACAAATAGACATTAACGGAGTAAGGTAGTGTTTCAAATTTATAGCAATATCAAGCGTCACGCGATTTTTATAGCTTGTCTTTGCGCATATTCGTATGTGTTTGTTATGGCAGGTTGTGTTCTGCATGTCTTTTGTTATGATTTCGCTAGTTTCTGCGTGTTCCACCTGCCGCTTTTCGTGTTCAAGTGTCGGCTGGTGTTTGGCGACAACTGTGTCGTTTCCTCCTCGCCACTGAACGACGCTAAACTTATCGAATGCTACAAGCAGAAAGTCTTTTCAGTCCGCCAACGACGATATGAAACAGTAATTTCATTGGCTCTTCTGCTTCGTCTACACCAACGACAGAAGACGTCTTGAGGGAAGAGAGCCACTTGTATTATTTAATTGTATTATTAGAAATTTTTCTTTAAAGATTCTTTTCCTAGAAAAGTTTATAGACCAACAACTACATGACAGTATGGTGTTGATCGTTTACTTAATTAAAAACCTTCTTTGTCCATACAGGTTATGTGGTTTAATTGCTTATTCGGGAGTACGGTTTGAAAAGGTTTTTAGCCTTAAAAAAAAGTATGATTACTTGGCTAGATAAGCATGGTGCTACTTAGAGATTACTGATACTCAGGATCTATTTGACGATGATGAGGATTTAGTACTAGGATAACACACAGTATTCTGTCCACCAGCATAGCATGTATTGCTGACACTGGTGACTTACGTCAACATCGGTACGATGTGTTGAAGTGCTACAGTACAGAGAAGTTTCTGGGTGTTTATAAGGTATTGCTGTTATTTCAGATAATTAAAGCAACGCCTTTTATTACAAAGCTCTCGAGCTAGCAACGTAACCGTTTATAAACACAAAACGTGTTATTGCGGAAACACTTATTTCAATCTTCTGCCACCAATTGATAAAGCATTGCAAGATGTACCCCTTTACTTATTCTAGTTACTATACTGATACATGATAATAAAGGTAGATCTTCTTTCTGGTTCTATAGATTTATTTCTACTTTTTCTAAATAAAAAAAAAAAGGTTTTGTTTTACATTTGCAGTTTTCGCAATTTTTCGCAGGGTTGCCCATTATCGTCACACGTTACGAATGAGCACGAAATACCTCACTTCTCGCATCATGTAAGGTTTCTTTACAAACCCACTACCAGCTATTTAGTGGACTACTATTAGATTAATACAGACTCTCCTTAAACCTAATATTAGATAACAGATTGTGCAATATTTTCAGTTTGACGAAACTCCCGGTAGTTTTTTATAGGAAGGCATAATCACATACAGTTCCGTTATGAACAGCGCTCTGGTTGTAGGATTATTACTACTCAGTAGGCGTAAAAAGAAGAACCGAATCTGTTATGAAATAAAAAGTATTATAAAAAGTTTACTTTCGAATAAAAAGCATTGTTTGATAAGATAAAGCGCTATCATATTGCAAAGCAATCGAAACATTCGTTTTTTTTTGCAAAAATGAATCGATCTGCGCTTCTAAGGACCTTGTTCTTCTCTGAAGCTCAGTTCTCTTATCTTTCATAGTCAGGGATTGAAAATGTCGTTTCCTCTATACATTCAACGTACTCGTCCACCTATAGAGATTAGTAGCATCCTTATTCTGCATGAGCCTCTTTATAAATAGATTACGTTTCCAAATCTTCATTGAAGGTTCATCTATCACAACAATTAAATAACAATGAGCAATGTTTACGGTACTCGCGCTGGTGGGGCTAGTTTGTGGTCATTCAAGACCAGCTCTGCCGTACTGTATACCAATTGCGCTTATTTCCCAACTTTTTGCCATGAGCTAGTACTCGTACAATATCTACTACGGTTTAAGCATTTGCACACAAGTCATATACCATTAAGCAATGTACGTAATGTGCTCAAGGCGCCTTGTTTTGTCGAACAGATTTGGAAATGCAAACAAAAAGCTGTGATACAAAAATGTCGTGTATACGTAATTTCCAAACTAAATCAGCCGTCCCCTAGTAGAAAGGTATCCCTGACATCCGTTATCGCTTTCCGCAAGGTTTCACTGACCCGGAGCGCTTGTGTGATTTTTTTGGAAAGCATAATATAAAAATTAGACAGAAATATTTTCTCAGAAGGTAGTCGATATATAAATAAAAGCAGTCTATTGAGACAATTGGCTTAGTTTACACCTTAGTAGTTTGTCTTTTGTTAGCCTAATGAAATTTGCGTTTAGTTTTGTGGAAATGCCCACTTATCTCGTGCAACTTAGTAACACTGTTTGACAAATCAACATAGTAAAAACGGCTACGATACTTGCGTTAAAGAAATAATACTGTACCTTCATAACTTAAAGTTATACAGCTGCTTTATTCATGTAGAGATTTTTTTTTAGCTGAGAGAACTCGTTGCGGCACATGGCTCAACAAAAGCTCATTTTTTTATACTAGTCCAATCGTATTTTCTCTTAGTGCATAGGACACAGAACACGTTCTTTTGATAACTACGCTGATGCTAGAGATAGCTAGTGCATGATTATTTTATAAAACTGAGTTGACTTCAGGTACAGAACGACAGGCAATGAAGAGCACATTGAATTATTTACATGTTCTTTTACATTACAATCGGCATTTCATATCTTTTAGCGAGTTTTAGGAGGAGGAAAAAGTTTTGAACCTAAGCCAGAGATAGTTTTTGTAAACTGTAATAAATTTTAGATGTAACGTAACAAAAAATTTATTGTAACTTGTTGTGGTACATCGACATCAAGCGTTACGCTTAATCCGATGGGCACGTAGATTACTGTAATCAAAAGTTTGAGAGCCTCATTGATGGAGACAGGCGTAGCAAAGGTTTTGATACCAGTTCGACATGCCACAGTACATATATCTTAATTTCTTATTTTACACTTTTATTCTCATCTCGACGATACATCAAAGCAAAAAGCGTAATTTGAAAAAAAGATAAAAAATGAGCTGCTACGATTTTTAAATTTGCCTCAAAAACGTCTCTCATAAGAAAACAAAGCGTAAATTAAGGTAATATATTGAGAACGACATATAGGTAGTAACTTATTTGCAACCAGCAAAATCTTCCCGATCAAGAGTGCCATTTTTTGAAACCGGGGCCAAAAATAAACGCAAATCTTATCGCGCGCTCGTCATTTCGCTAACCGTTCTCCCATACGTTTAAACGTTAAGGAACTCTCAATGATTCACTAGCAGATGGGTTGTACCAAGATTACGACTTTGGAAACTTTGGAAAACAGGCAGCGTATAGCAGTTCGGTCAACCAATGCACTCTAAACTCCCATGAATTTCAAGAAAAAAAAAGTACACATTTGTTTTCTTAATTTTCGGGCAATGCAAAACCATTGAGATGCTGGATGGCTTCAGAAACGACGCAGTTAGTTAATGGCCATACTATCGCTGACTATAATTTGCCAGCGAAAGAATCGTTAAAGCGCACGCTGCCAATGTAAATTACTAAAAAGCAGATATATTTCCTCCTTCTGGTCCATACGAATGTGTGTACGTTCGCAAAATTTCAAATTTTTATTTATTATACTATCAAAAGGACAATAAATACACCATGTCTTCCGTCCACACTTATTCATGTATATAGATGAAGTATCCAGCTGCTTATCTACACACGATAGATAAAACCCAGAGCAAAGGCAAAATATCTTTATTTGAAAGGCAACGCTATGATAAGCCATGTACTCACGCATACGCTACGCGAGGCATTTGGAAAAGAAATCACATCCAAGATATTTCACCGCCATTGTAGCACCATTTTTGAGGAAGGTACATTCGATGTGACTTATAATACAGCTTCAAGACTCGAGCAGAGTGATGACTTGATTGCCCATGTAATTATATGTGACACACCTTAAAGCACAAAATCAATGTTTACTTATAAGATTGCGTTTATTATAACCTGAATAACCTAAAGAGCCCTCAAGGCATGTCCGAGCCTTTTTCAGGATATATTTTAACCTTTAGCCCTATTCATAGCTAATCTTTCTATTTAATCTTCTGAACATTTGGATTATTCGAGGCCATCTACCTGTGTTTATATGAGTTTCATAAGGTTAAACAGTATCGCTTCGTTATGAATGGCCGGTGAACAAAACGACCGTGAATTCAAAAAGTAATAATAAACTGCTAATTATATATTTTTGAAAATTTTATATGCAGAGTACGTCAGCTACATGACACACATCTTCGATTTCCAAATCAAAAATGTTTGTAGAAGCAGTTGTCTCATTCAAACAAATTCAACATCTAGGAGATCTTCCGTTTTTGACCAATATTTTCTTTGCTTATAAATCAATATATTCTAGCATCTCGCGAATAGACCAATGCTCCTTGAAACAATATCATGGTAACGCTGACGATTAGTATAAGTATCACACTGTATCATAAAAGTACATTGTGTTTTCACAAATAAAAATGTGTACTGCTACAAATGAGGCGGTCCATAGACTGACATACTTATTCTTATAAACGATACCTACCGATATTTTTCAGTTTTGTACTCGGATAATATTCGATGGAAATAAGGAAGGGAGCATAACTCAGTCTAATTTTCAATAATGCGGCGAGACCTTATTTTAAGATCATTGCAGAAGTCGCAGTGTATCAGAATCCGTGTCAACGAGTGAGCCTTGAGGTAGATCAGATCCATAAGTAAAGACTCAGTTTGTTCCGTAATTCTGATGAATTATAAGATATTTAGGTTTATAGGGACACGCAATCGTAGGACGCTACTAAAAGCACTAAAATTCACTCCTGTCGACGGGGAGCTCTATAAAAACCCAAATTAATTTTTCATTATTAACCATTTTTATTGTTTGTTGGTTAGTTGACTTTCAATTCCAAAGGTCTCACGATTGGCTTATACCATTAGCAAGAATGACCTAAATTGACTCAAAACCTTTGAAATCTTTGTTCCGACAGACATCGTGCTCTCTATTGTTTCGTAGCTCCTATTCTGCCGCAAAATAAGGCAAGTAGTTAATTTTGAGAGATAACATCATAAAAACCTAATTATCCCGCCTTAACGAGACCTTTCTTAACGGAAAGAATAGACGTAATAGTACAGCATAAAAGGACGCATTATGATCTTACCTGTTTAGTTTTTTAAATAGCATGACCATGGCATTGAAGACAGTCAGACGTAAGTTGAAACGGAAACAGCGCAACTTCCTAGAAAAAGGTAAACCTCTCCCTGTACGTTTAAAGTAACTTGCTACATGGATTTAGCGTTCTACTCGATCTGTGCACACGTTGCAGCCTGGAATA